CCCTGAGTGTTGTGACCCTGGGTGTTGTGACCCTGAGTGTTGTGACCGTGGGTGTTGTGACCCTGGGTGTTGTGACCCTGAGTGTTGTGACCCTGGGTGTTGTGACCCTGGGTGTTGTGACCCTGAGTGTTGTGACCCTGAGTGTTGTGACCCTGAGTGTTGTGACCCTGAGTGTTGTGACCCTGGGTGTTGTGACCCTGGGTGTTGTGACCCTGAGTGTTGTGACCGTGGGTGTTGTGACCCTGGGTGTTGTGACCCTGAGTGTTGTGACCCTGGGTGTTGTGACCCTGGGTGTTGTGACCCTGAGTGTTGTGACCCTGAGTGTTGTGACCCTGGGTGTTGTGACCCTGAGTGTTGTTACCCTGAGTGTTGTGACCCTGGGTGTTGTGACCCTGGGTGTTGTGACCCTGAGTGTTGTGACCCTGAGTGTTGTGACCCTGAGTGTTGTGACCCTGAGTGTTGTGACCGTGGGTGTTGTGACCCTGGGTGTTGTGACCCTGAGTGTTGTGACCCTGAGTGTTGTGACCCTGAGTGTTGTGACCCTGAGTGTTGTGACCCTGAGTGTTGTGACCCTGAGTGTTGTGACCCTGGGTGTTGTGACCGCGGGTGTTGTGACCGTGGGTGTTGTGACCGCGGGTGTTGTGACCGTGGGTGTTGTGACCCTGAGTGTTGTGACCCTGAGTGTTGTGACCGTGGGTGTTGTGACCGTGGGTGACCGAGGCAGCTCCTATTTACATCCACCCACACTCATTAATACACATGTCCAACCTTCGCTTGAAACAATCCAGTGAACACACACCTACTATGTTACCCGAACACAGACGAACATAATGAGCTCAAACGCTCGTTCGGATCTGCCTCCTTTACATCATTGTGTGTGTGGTATCAGAGCCATTACAGGAAGAGAGCCTGAAGCAGGAAAACAGACTTATTGGGTTCTCCTCAGAGTTCTCATGTAATTCTGGACCGCTGCCATAAACTGGAGCGGTCAAGTCTTACTGCAGCGGTCAAGTCTTACTGCAGCGGTCAAGTCTTACTGCAGCGGTCAAGTCTTACTACAGCGGTCAAGTCTTACTGCAGCGGTCAAGTCTTACTGCAGCGGTCAAGTCTTACTGCAGCGGTCAAGTCTTACTGCAGCGGTCAAGTCTTACTGCTTCCACCACGCAAACAACTTCCTTCTTCACTGCTTGTTTGGGCCTTCAGCCTGCTTCACCTTCCAGTTTGCTCGCACATTCTTAAAAGCAATCACGAGTCGTGATATTTTTACCCACTTTATCTAACTAATATTTTTGCTCCTCTCAAGCTTCATGTTTTTAATTTTATTTTATATATGTTTTTAGCCTATAATCCGCCTACAATATGACATGTAATAATCGAGTTTTTTCCTATCAATTTCAGTGAAAAAAAATAGAAATTTTGTTTCGTTATTTCGCTCTTCCTTGCTTTAAATTCAAAATATTATGAAAGTGATTTTATCTGTTTCCGTTTAGCCGAAAAACATCCGGTTTTATGTTCACAGAAAAACTTTGAATTTCCCTTCGGCTTTATTTCGAATCCCACGGTAATATTTCCATGCATATCACAGAGGCGGATATGTAGTTTTTAGGAGTCAGGTAATCTGTCGTTACATGATTTTTTAAACATTCAAAATCATTTAGTCTGATTTGATTATTTTGGACGGTTTTTCTTCCTCACTCTTCATTTCTTCTTATCTACGTTGCGCTATTATTCTCCTCTTTATCTTCGTCCTCTGATTGTTTCTCCTCCTTGTAAATCTCTGGCAGCTCTTCCTCCCTCACTTCTCCTCTCTCATTCTATCTGCATTGCTTACCACCATTCCCCTACCTTTCTTCCTGTCTGCCTTCCACCCACTCTTTGTACTTTAATCCCTCTCTCCTCCTCTCCCTTCTCCCCCCCCCTCCATCCCTCTTTCCTTTCCTACCCCCCTCTCTCTCTCTCTCTCTCTCTCCCACCTATTTATCTGTGCCGACTATTACCAAAGCAGTTATCTCCCTCAGCGCCCCTCATCACGGAGCGAGGAGCTGCCTCTGGCATCCATAGATTGCCTTAATTTTGCTGTGAAAGAACTGAGTACAGGTTGCCCTGTTTCCAGCCTTCTCCCAGATGCTCACAATGGCTTCTCTCCGCTTTTTGTATGAGGGGAAACTTGGAGGTAGAGCAAGAGGATAAGAGGGAAGTGGAGGAAAGTAGAGAGAGAGAGAGAGAGAGAGAGAGAGAGAGAGAGAGAGAGAGAGAGAGAGAGAGAGAGAGAGAGAGAGAGAGAGAGAGAGAGAGAGAAAGAGACAGAGAGAGAGAAAGAGAGAGAGAGAGAGAGAGAGAGAGAGAGAGAGAGAGAGAGAGAGAGAGAGAGAGAGAGAGAGAGAGAGAGAGAGAGAGAGAGAGAGAGAGAGAAAGTTTATGTAATAGAAAGACAGATATAAAGAAAACAGAAAGATACAAAACAGATAAAAAGAGATACGAACAAAAGTTCTGTTCAGAAAAGATAAATAACATAACATTTCGTCTATACTTAGAAGTTCCCTCTTAAAAAATACGCACAACTTATATCCCACAGAAGACATTTTTATTTTGCTGGAGCAGCCAAGGTCAGGATTGAACAGCTGAAGGCTCACTGCCTCTTCCTCCTCCTCCTTCTCCTCCTCCTCTTCCTACTCTTCTTCTTCCTCCTCCTCCTCCTCTATTCCCCGAGCAAGAGCCTCGTAGAGAAAACCCTTGTGATTAATAGAGTAAAACTACCGGTGCTCATTATTGCCTCATTATCACCTTTGTTAACATATACTGTGCTCAAAAACACAATATTAGTATCCATTATAACTGACAGAAGAAAACAAGAATTATTTATCGTCCAGGAAAATACAATTGGGAAAATTATTATAAATTATTCTCTTATGTGGTTCATATATCAGTGTATCTACTTTCATTTAACGTTTTTTTTCTTCAGTTGTACTTAAAATGTTCGGTGTTGTATAGCTGTCTTTTGTGTCAGATGTTCAGTGGTGTATAGCTCTCTCTTGGGTCAGTTGTTCAGTGGTGTATAGCTCTCTCTTGGGTCAGATGTTCAGTGGTGTATAGCTCTCTCTTGGGTCAGATGTTCAGTGGTGTATAGCTCTCTCTTGGGTCAGATGTTCAGTGGTGTATAGCTCTCTCTTGGGTCAGTTGTTCAGTGGTGTATAGCTCTCTCTTGGGTCAGATGTTCAGTGGTGTATAGCTCTCTCTTGGGTCAGATGTTCAGTGGTGTATAGCTCTCTCTTGGGTCAGTTGTTCAGTGGTGTATAGCTCTCTCTTGGGTCAGATGTTCAGTGGTGTATAGCTCTTCCATGCGTAAGAGACTTCTTCCATGTTCTGCTTTGATCTCTTGAGATATATTTTTGGAGTCTCTTTTCGTAAGACAATTTTAAATGATTGTCTTGAGTTCAGATACTCTTCTCTGTGTTCTCATCTGCACTTTCTTCTACACTCTGATTCTGAGTAATGTTTGTGCAAGAGAATGGTTTAATCAAAGGCTTTATAGAAGCAACATAGTTTCTGAAGCATAACATCTAAAAGTCTGATCTAAGAAAAATCGTATTTTGCCGGGTAAGTAAACACGAGGGCGAGGAACACTGAGGAGTAAGGGGGTGACATGATTCAAGCATCTTAGTGAAATAAAGAGTATATCAACGTAGATATAAATAAGGTTTTAAACAAAAACATGAAAACATAAGAACACAAGAACATAAGAATTAGAAAAACTGCAGAATGCCTATTGATCTAAACGGAGCAGCTAATTTTTATGACTAGCCAAACACATTAACATATATATATATAAATATATATATATGTTCAGTGGTGTATAGCACTCTCTTGAGTAAGATGTATATATATCTCTGTATATATATACATCTTGTCTCTCTCTGTATATATATATATATATAAAATGTGAACTAAATAATGGTAAACTCTATAAGACATAATCTTTAAATTTACGTACGTCACGTAAAATGTAAAAATATATATATATGAGACTTCAATTGATACAGAATGCAATAATTTGGATGAACTCTAACTGCAAATCATAAACGCTAAAAAATAGCACTTTCCATGCTCTAAAATGCAAGTTTAGAGCCTCCTTCCCCGACCCAGAACACTCCCTACCTAACGCTGCACTGTCATTCCGCATTGCTGAGGAATAATTTCATTTAGTGTAAGGGGCAAGTCGTTAAGCAGACGAGCAATATCGTAAAGTGCGTTTACGGTAGGTCTCAAATATTCCTTTGACATCGTATGTTGCTGGGAACGTCTAGGCTTAGGACTTATGGCCTTAATAGTCCGATAACTCGTTGGTCGCTCTCATTATAATCTCGGTTGGGACAGTTCTATGGGAAATTATTATGATGTTGGGTATTTGTGTGAGGTACGAGTCCAAGAGTTAAGCATTATACTGGCTGGAGATGGAAGGCTTTCTCTCTTTCTCTGCTGCTTGGTCTGTCTGTCTTTCTGAAGGTTTTTTGCGTATGTGTTTGTACAGTATGAGTCTCTCTCTCTCTCTCTGTCTCTCTCTGTCTCTCTTTCTCTCTCTCTCTCTCTCTCTGTCTCTCTCTCTGTCTCTCTCTCTGTCTCTCTCTCTGTCCCTCTCTCTCTCTCTCTCTCTCTCTCTCTCTCTCTCTCTCTCTCTCTCTCTCTCTCTCTCTCTCTCTCCTCTCTCTCTCTCTCTCTCTCTCTCTCTGCTCTCTCTCTCTCCTCTCTCTCTCCTCCTCTCTCTCCTCCTCTCCTCCTCTCTCTCTGTCCCTCCCTCTCTCTCTCTCTCTCTCTCTCTCGCCCTTTCTCTCACTCTCAGGGATCAGGGAGTATTAGTAAGGTAATTGGACGCTGTCTCTGCGTTGGCTCTGGGTCTTGAAGTGGGTAGAATGTAATTATGTGTTAGCTGGTTGTTGATTGCTGGTCTGGACTTCTTAGCATGTGGTCCCACGCTGATGTCCAGTCTCCTGCAGTCGTCATACCTGTCGATTATTGCTTTGTCCAGATGTCTCGTCAGCGTTGCTTGTCAAGATGTCTCTGGTGAGGATCTGGTTGTGTGTGGAGAATACATGTTCCTTGAGAGAGCCCTGTTGCTTGCGCATTGTTAATCGCCTGGAGAAAGTCGTTGCTGTCTTGTCTGTATACTGAGATCTTTGGGGCTTACAGTCCCCAAGTGGGCATTTAAAGGCATAGATAAAGTTAGTCTTACGTAAAGAGGAGAATGACTACCGGCCTTGACACAGACACACACAAAAACCCTCATACACACACACACACACACACACACACACACACACACACACACACACACACACACACACACAGGAACTTTTCAACACTGGTGGGACGCGAACAAGGGACACAGTGGAAGCTGAGTACCCAATGAGCCACAGAGACGTTAGAAAGAACACACAAATGGAATGCACACACACACACACACACACACAAGGCGGGACCACCACACAAGCACACACACACAAACACACACACACACACACACACTCCCAGAGGAATAGAATCGTTCCTCTCATTGTTGGTTGATGACGCAATCATTATGAGGATGATTAAGACAGTGACAGATAATAGGAGGCTGCAAGATGACCTAGACAAACTGAAGGAATGGTGCAACAAATGGCTACTAAAATTCAACCCAAGTAAATGTAAGTTAATGGAAATAGGCGGTGGAAACAGGAGGCCATACACAGGATACCGAATGGGAGATAAAGTCCTTTATGAAACAACCAGAGAGAAATATATCACACAAACCCTGTCTCCTGAAACCTACATAAAAAGAATAACATCGGCGGCGTATGCGAGGCTGGCTAATATCAGAACTACCTTCAGGAACCTGTGTAAGGAATCATTCAGAACCTTGTATACCACATATGTAAGACCATTCCTGGAGTATGCGGCCCCAGCATGGAGCCCGTACCTTGTCAAGCACAAGACCAGGCTGGAAACAGTTCAGAGATAGTCCTAGGTTCACTAGGTTAGTCCCAGAACTAAGCGGCATGAGTTACCATGAAAGGTTGCGTGAAATGCACCTCACGAAACTAGAAGACAGTAGAGTAAGAGAAAACATAATCACTACCTACAACATTCTCTGAAGAATTGACAGAGTAGATAAGGATAAACTGTTTAACAAGGGTGGTACGCGAAGAAGGAGGACACAGGTGGAAACTGAGTACCCAAATGAACCACAGGGACGTTAGAAAGAACGTTTTCAGTGCCAGAGTAGTTAACAGGTGGAATGCATTAGGCAGTGATGTGGTGGAGGCTGACTCCATGCACAGTCTCAAATGTAGATATGATAGATCCCAGTAGGCTTAGGAATCTGTACACCAGTTGGTTGACAGTTGAGAGGCGGGACCAAAGAGCCAAAGCTAAACTCCCCAAGCACAAGTAGGTGAGCACAACTAGGTGAGTATACACACACCCAACTACATTGACACATACAACTACACAGACACATACAGCTACACATACATACAAACAATGGTTTCCCTATTCTGCAGTCATCTGGACAATCCGTATTCTGCGGCCCTCTCTCGCTCTAGTGATCTGGAACGCGTCCAATTTTCCGTAGAGCAGTGTATAGCCTCTGTGTACCTCAGACCCTGCTGATGCTGTCTCTCTTCTGCTCCTCACTGCAACACATGCCCACCTCACATCGACTTTCCATTTCCCGCGGACAATATCTCAGCTATCACGAGCAAGACCTTTGCTCACCCTCTTCGAATCAATCTCTCCTCAGTTTGGTATTCTGGGTTTGATGTCGTATGTCAGGCTCTTTGGTCTGTGCATATGGACAATGTGTCTGGTGGTTAAGCATGTATATATTCGCAGTCAGGACGAGGTCTCGGATTATAGTGGAGCTTCCGTGTCACATAAACAGGCACACACATTTATGCCTTTAATATGTAGCAGAAACAACCATAATCTCGTAGAGAGATGTATGCTATAACTTTATTCATTCACGCGTTATTTACTCACGATATTCATATCATAACTCACTCCCAAACACGACTGTTATTCATAAAGAAATCACATACACACACTCATACATGCTTGTACACACAAGCACACAGTTGATTGACAGTTCTGAGGAGGGACCAAAGAGCCAGAGCTCAACCCCTGTAAGCACAACTAGGTTAGTGCAACTAGGAGAGTATACACACACACACATACATTACTCTGAAACTTATGTGTTAGAGTAGTTAACAAAAGGAATGCATTAGACAGTGATGTGGTGGAGGCAGACTCCATACACAGTTTCAAATGTAGATATGATAGAGCACAAAAGGCTCAATATAGAGCACAAAAGGCTCAATATAGAGCACAAAAGGCTCAATATAGAGCACGAAAGGCTCAATATAGAGCACAAAAGGCTCAATATAGAACGCAAATGGCTCAGTAATCTGTACATCAGTTAATTGACAGTTGAAAGGTAGGGTCAAAGAGCCGAAGACTGGAGTTTCAATAAATTGTATATCCCGGGCAGTGAAGGAGTCAGAGATTATATAAAAGTCATTATGACATATGGTAGGAGTTGTATTAGCATATATCTCCACGTTAAATGGCAAGGCCCAAACACGAATATCTTAAAACAACATAACAACCATAATGAACTCGAGAGAGCAGTTTCGGTCAACTGCAAGACGGGCTCCTAATTATTAATCATGAGGGACTTCAACCCCAGATTGGTAGACTTGGAGAACAGACTGCCACATTGAGGTATAGATACATGGAGAGTTAAACTGCTGGACGAGGTAACGAGAAACTTTCTTAGTCAACATGAAACGGTACCCAAAAGAATGAGACAATATCGAACCAGCTAGATTTGAATTGATAATCACTCCTACCGAGTCAGATATAAAGAAAGTTGAATTAGAAGCCAGCATGGGAATGAACGATAACAGTGTATTGACATTTGCGTATCTGGCAGAAGTAGGAATGACCTATTCAAAGAAGGAACCAGAAAGCTGCCATATCGAGGAGGGAATTGTGAGATGTGAAAATTCCTTATATGAAGACCGTGAGATTTAGTGAATTTAGAGAAAAGATTTTGCAAGACATGATGAGCTACGTCATCCAATTTGGAGCGGCAGCAGACAGGTTCATCCCTGATTAAAAGGAGAAAAACTAAATGAGAAAGAGGTTCAATCAGACAACTAAGGAAGGAAGGTAATACGTACAAGGACATGGAAAAACTACAGAAATAACAGAATACCAGAGAGCAAGGGAAAGTTTCCCTGAGGCCAGGAATGAATACCTCACCGTGAGGAGAGACAGTGTGAAAAATCACATATCAAGTAAATCCAATACAACAAAAATTGCTTCATAGCTATATCAGGAGGAAAGGGGACGGCAGGCACACAGAAAATGACAAGGAGGTGTGTTTTAAGAACTCCACAAGAGATTCCAAGAGATTTACAAAATAGAGATAGAAGAAGTCCCTGAACTGAGAGAGGTGCCTATAAACCAACCCACCTTCTTGAGGTTATCTTGAGATGATTTCGGGGCTTTAGTGTCCCCTCGGCCCGGTCCTCGACCAGGCCTCCACCCCCAGGAAGCAGCCCGTGACAGCTGACTAACACCCAGGTACCTATTTACTGCTAGGTAACAGGGGCATTCAGGGTGAAAGAAACTTTGCCACCCACATAACACCCGGGGTTCTGTCCAGCTGCTTCACAAAGCTGCGTCAGAGGACCCATTAAGTCACTGCTCGCAGGGGAACACCATAATCCAGCTCGGACAGGCGCTCTGTAAGGGCCACTAAGAGTGTCTTTTAAGCAATTTCCAAGCAGAACAATACAAAAAAAGTTTTTCACCTTCTATAAAAACAGTTCTTATCCTTTGTAAACAATTCTTAGCCTTTGTAAACAATTCTTAGCCTCTATTAAAGCTGTTCTCTTAACCTCTGTAAAAACCGTTCTCTAAGCCTCTTTAAAAAGCTCTCAGTTTCTGTAAAAACAAAAGTGGCTTTTTACTCAGCCTTTAGAAATCGCCTTCCATAAGTGTACTCAGCGGTTGGGCTATTTCATAAATCGGAGTGTCTACCCATTATAGAGATCGTTGTGGTGGCTCTGTGATGTCCCAATTGTCTCGGCTGGTAACTTGGCCCCAGATAGATGGGTTAAAATCCCTTTAGAGGTCAGACACATATACACACGCAGACACACACACACACACACACACACACACACACACACACCACACACACACACACACACACACACACACACACACACACACACACACACACACACACACACACACATACACACACACACACACATACACACACACACACACACACACACACACACACACACACACACATACACACACACACACACACTCACACACATACACACACACACACACACACACACACACACACACACACACCACACACACATACACACACACACACACACACACACACACACATACACACACACACACACACATACACACACACACACACACACACACACACACACACCACACACACACACACACACACACACACACACACACACACACACACACACACACACACACATACCACCCACACACACACATACACACATACACACACACACACACACACATACACACACACACACACACACACACACACACACACACACACACACACACATACACACACACACACACACACACACACACACACACACACACACACACACACACACACACACACACACACACACACACACACACACACACACACACACACACACACATACACACACACACACACACACACACACACACACAAACACGAATTAATTTTTTTCTACACACATCTGTGTGTGTGTTTGTGTGTTTTGTGTACTCACCTATTTGTAATCACAAATAGGTGAGTACAAATAGGTGAGTACACACAACACACAAACACACACATGTGTAGAAAAAAATAAGCTAATTCATTGACAGTTGGGAGGCGGGCCCAAAGAGCAACAGCTCAACCCCCAACAAGCACAACTAGGTGAGTACAACTAAGTGAGTACAACTAGGTGAGTACTGGCCACGAAGGGGACCTCGCCACTCGCCCGGGGGTCATAGTCCTAAGGTCTCTGGTTCGATTCCCGGCCGAGGCCGAAACAAATGGGCAGAGTTTCTTTCACCCTGATTCACCTGTTCACCTAACAATAAATTAGGTGCCTGAGAGTTAAACAGCTAACTTCGTGGGAATGTGTGTGTGTGAGTGCGTGTGTTCTAAATATATGTAGTAGACATAATATTGGAAAATAGATTGGTTAGAAACGCGGGGTTCAAGACTTAATAGCTCGATTCTACATGCATAAATAGTAAATACAAATAGTAAATACACACACACAGACACCACCACCACACACACACAGGGAGCCGGTCGGCCGAGCGGACAGCACGCTGGACTTGTGATCCTGTGGTCCTGGGTTCAATCCCAGGCGCCGGCGAGAAACAATGGGCAGAGTGGCTCCACTCTTTTCTTCCTGTCCCAGAACCTCTGCTTTAAATATATTCTTAATGGTGACCTTTCTACAGGTGGTTATCTTATCTTGAGGTTATCTTGAGATGATTTCGGGGCTTAGTGTCCCCGCGGCCAGGTCCTGGATCTGGCCTCCACCCCCAGGAAGCAGCCCGTGACAGCTGACTAACTCCTAGGTACCTATTTACTGCTAGGTAACAGGAGCATCAGGAGGAAAGAAACTATGCCCATTGTTTCTCGCCGGCGCCCGGGGTCGAGCCCGGGACCACAGGATCACGCGTACAGTGCTCTGTCCGCTCAGCCACCGGCTCCCCAATGGGTGCAGAAATCAACGGATTAAAGGATCAAAATCCACGTGTGCAGTACCGGATTACCTTATTGAAGCCATTGACAATTTAATTGAACAAGAGTTATTTAAAAAGCAAAATGCAAAAATCACAGCCAAAGACCCTTTCTTTGTCATTGAATATCCTGGAAACCTTTTTCTAGGGTAAACTCCTTAATCATTTCCCTAATTCCTACTGCATTTTTCTGCAGTAGGAATTAGGGAAAATTAGGGCCTAATATTACAATTTCTGATCAAGCAAAAAAGCCTTTTGCCCTTTGTACCTTGCACCGAAGTCTTGTCTTTGCAAATAAACGTATTCCTTTCCTGAAGCACCAAATCTTGCTCCCCTCTCCAACAACAAGAACGAAGGTATTTACCTCCCCTCTTGCCTCTGTAAATCTTGGCCCGACTCTTGCAGCACCCTTGTCATGCAAGCAATACCTCGGCTTCCTCCCTCACAAGGTTGCAAATCTCACGTTGGGACTAGCAGTCCGAGGGCCTCGTTATCTCTCCCCACGGTTACAAATCCTGTCTTGAGAAGCACCACTACGATGTTGTGAGCCAATAACCCATTCAGAGAAACCTTCCTCGGACTCCTCCCTTGTCGGCAGTGGAAGGTACTCCCTTCATATCTCCCTCGTCTCAGCTGCAGGGCGGCTCGCAGAGACCAAATTGGGTTGAAAATGTTTGATGATTAGGGTGGGAGGGGGAGGGGGGGGAAGGGAGGGTTGTAAAGAGGGGTTCTTAATTGCACATAGCTCGGGCTGGTCACCCCTCTTGTAAAGAGGTGAGGATAAAGTATGTGTGTATGTGTACTCACCTAGTTGTGCAAGACAACACCATCTCTTTCCAGGCGTTTAACGATGCATAAGCAACAGGGCTCCATTAAGGAACATATAATCTCTTCCCACAACCAAACTATCACCAGAGAAATCTTAGCAAACAACACAGAAATCATCGATAGATACAGCGATAGCAGGCGGCTTGACATCTGCGAGGCACTACACATCAAGAAGTCAACACCAGCAATCAACAGCCAATTAATGCTCAACTATATTATACCCACTTCAAGACTCCGCTCCAATATAGAAGCATCATGAAATATGGGCCAATAGGCCCTCTGCAATTACTTCCATTCTTACCTTCAATACCCATTATTTCGTGTTCTGTCTTGTGTTGAAAGTTTGTTTTCACCTCATCCAAAACTGTTGTAACATATCACCTCACCCAAATGCAGGTATAAAAAATCGATGTTTAAGCTCTATTCAGTTAGTAGTTGTGTGTGTGTAAACTAAAGTAAAAATGTAATAAGTTTTACGAAACGCGCTCAAGTGTCGCGTCAGACTAGAAATAAAAATTAATTTTGGAGAATTGCTTTTTCAATTACCATCAACCGTGAAAAGAAACATAAGATCGAGAAAATTCGTGTTAGAATTATTAATCTTACTTTTTCGGTCATATTTAATAATATATATATATATATATATATATATATATATATATATATATATATATATATATATATATATATATATATATATATATTGCACATGTTTCGTACCTCCATGGCCAGAACGCACTTCTCAGCCTACTATGCATATATATATATTGCTATATATATATATATAGCCAATATTTATATATGATATATAATTATATTTTCGATATATATATACCTCTTCAGAAGGTAACCTTACAGATCGAGTGATGGGTATTACCTAACCTAACTCATAACCTATAAAGGACTATGCATTAGGTTGTATGTCTGCTGTATCAGATGGGCCATTGGTACATCGGTTCGGCCATATTGGGTACGTTGATGGGCCAATGGGCCTTCTGCGTTGTCCAAGTATTGTACCTCATACTTACTTCACCACTGGGTAGCTATTTATAACCCATCACTCGATCTGAAAAATGACTTCTGAAAATATATTAATATAGAAAAGTTGGCTTATTAGGAAAATCCTGCCTTGCATTTTAGGCCGAGAAGTGTGTTCTGGCTACTAGGTACGACATTCTTAATATATATTTATTTTTCGTGATATACACACACACATATATATATATATATATATATATATATATATATATATATATATATATATATATATATATATATATATATATATATATATATATATATATATAGGCGTGATGAAACACAACAATGTTCCTGAGTCATAGGAAGCTGCCTCTGCTCCCTAGAGCAAGGGGAGGTGTGGGTCCAGGTCTGTGATTCCTTTGAGAAATTTGGTTCTGAGCTCAAAACCACGTACCCCTATAACACATAAGACAGGATACAGAGGTGACCGCGCCCCATGAAGATGGACACCCGATGCCCTGAGCTCACATTTGAAGAACAAATTCAATCTCGTTACGTTGTTATTTTTTTACGTTTAGGTTCGATAACGTTATTGTGATCTCTAAATTTTATTTATTAATTAAAATATTTACAATCAGATGAATATGATAACTTTTTTTACCTAGTACAATCACCCATCATCAATCGAACATTAGGTACACGTAGAGTTTAACAAAATTAAGATCTGTTAAAACAAAATAATTCCAAATAGGAAGCAAAGTGCCAACTGGTTGTCCTGTGGTGTTGTCACAACATATGTTGGATAATGTGGATACGAAACTCTACACATGTTATTGCTTGAGATTTTCATGTTGTGAAGTCAGGAAACTCGAGACATGACATCACTCATAGGCGCCGAGGGACTTGCCTTTGGTTAGTTGAAACAATTGGGGGTAGTTGGGCAGACCCTGGTAGCCTGCAAGCAGCAGCAGGCGGTGCACCCTGCCCATAGCTAGGGACATCTTCTCCTTCTCCCCCTTGGTAAAAGGATCGAAGTCCAGGTTGTTCTTCCGCTTGAAGGATCCCTCAAGGTGAGAGGACACGCAGGCCAGTCTCCTTTCGTCCAGAGGCACCCTAGAGGTGGACATTATTATTATTATTAGTGTGTGTGTGTGTGTGTGTGTGTGTGTGTGTGTGAGTGTGTGTGTGTGTGTGTGTGTGTGTGTGTGTGTGTGTGTGTGTGTGTGTGTGTGTGTGTGTGTGTGTGTGTGTGTGTGTGTGTGTGTGTGTGTGTGTGTGTGTGTGTGTGTGTGTGTGTGTGTGTGTGTGTGTGTGTGTGTGTGTGTGTATTCACCTAGTTGTATTCACCTAGTTGTATTCACGTAGTTGTGTTTGCGGGGGTTGAGCTTTGTTCTTTCGGCCCGCCCTTCAACCGTCAATCAACTGTTTACTAACTACTTTTTTTTCCCATCACCTCCCCCCTCCAGGACCAGGAAGCAGCCCGTGACAGCTGACTAACTCCCAGGTACCTATTTACTGCTAGGTAACAGGAGCATTCAGGGTGAAAGAAATTTTGCCCATTTGTTTCTGCCTGGTGCGGGAATCGAACCCGCGCCACAGAATTACGAGTCGTGCGCGCTATCCACCAGGCTACCAGGCCCCTAGATACACATACACACACATGTGTGTGTGAGTGTGTGGGGGGTTTAATCCGATACCTACAATGATAAGAAACATATTTTCAGAGACCTATAGTAAAGTAAAACAGAACCAACAAGAAAGTTTAACAACGTAGTTACAGCCTTAGTGAGGCACTGTAACTATAGGCCTAGGTTAGGCCAGGTTAGTACATGACTGTGAAAGTGACGATACTCCAGCTACTCTTCTACGGACTCTAAGAGTGCAACAGAAGGAAACAGCACATGTGGAACCTACTAAATAAGGACTAGATGGATCTATCTACAAAACTAAATAAAAATAAGAATAAGTGGAGGCAAGTGTCCGAGTGCGACATAAGAGGTGGAACAATTACCCGAGGAAGTGGAGGAGGCGACGAAGGTGGAGTTGGGTATTGTTGAGGAGCAGCTCGTAGTGCAGGACGTGGAGGGGTCCTGAACTCCACAGGAGGCGGTCCACAGCCAGCTTCTCCCAGCGAGTGATCATCGCTTCAACATATCTATGAAAATCTGCCGGAATAATTGTTACCTATCTTATAGCTTTAGCGACATATAACATTTGTCTTAATCCCTTACCTTGCATCGTGTTATTATTTGATATTAAAGCTACTATTTGCGAGCTTTGGAGTAATTACTAAACAATAGACACTGACTCCATCTTTCTCGAAGAGCTATTTCGTCTTATGTATCAGACAGGCGGGAATATAATTCTTCTAAGAATTAGTGACGAGATATGCCCCATTAGTTGAGAGATTAGATACACATGCGCTACAATAAAATATTGCGATCCTATTATTTCATCTACTTCAGAGAGCTACAAAATAATGTCTGAATAGATTTGAGGTCTGATGAGTATTTAGGAGTTTGCTAACTGATTTAAAGTTTATTTTTCTAACTTAGACAATTAAACAGTTAGTTACTAAGACATTCAAACAAACTCATTATTAAACTGGTTCACCAGACTCGTGATGTATCGAGAATATTGTAACAATTGTAGTTCATGTGGAACCATTTAGAATGATCATCTGTCTATAGCGACCACTACGGGTCGTCCACATGTACTGTGGGAGTTTGTTACGTGAAACGAAATTTGTATAAATCAAATTTTCACCTGCAAATTTTCCTATGACCATACACACACATATATCGACAGGTTGACCAACTCATAAGACCTCTTGATGTGACAGATGTGATGTTATTGAACCACAACTAGAGGTAATAGACAGAAAGCATTAAGAATGACGCTGTGGCGTTTAACATTTCAAGAGAAAAACTTGCCAAACTTTGCAGTCAAAATAGAAAATAACCATCGAGATAAATATAAAGCTATTAGTAGTTCAAAGAGTAGGATTTCATCTACACTTAGAAAATATCATGAATAAAAATAAAACAGTGAAATAGTTAAAGGAGGAAAATAGAGTATTAAAAGATTGAAGTGGTAGAGTGATAATAACCTAAATGTCCTTGAATGTGAAAGAAATGTCTTCGAGACGCTAACTGTTAACGTAAGAGTCTTGATTCACTGTATTTAACATAACGTAACTTGACCAGACCACACACTAGAAGGTGAAGGGACGACGACGTTTCGGGCCATCCTGGACCATTCTCAAGTCGATTGTGAGATTCTACTATTCCCCTCTACTACACCTTACTGTTCGTACCTTATGCCTTGCTCCTCATCTTTCTCTTGCCTATTTATTGCCTTCATCACCTCCGTCTTCACAATCGACTTGAGAATAGTCCAAGACGGACCGAAACGTCGTCGTCCCTTCACCTTCTAGTGTGTGGTCTGGTCAACATACTTCAGCCACGTTATTGTGACTAATCGCCTGCATAACGTAACTTGTTGATAAATATATTTATTGTCTCTTGTGAGGTTCCTGCCCACTGTTCCAGCAGCAGGTCAGAGGTCACATAAACTGATAGCGATAGAAGAGAAACATATATTAAGTAAAAACAGAAGACTGGAGATACTGCCAGAGAAATGGAAACTAGCTAATAAGCGAATAAATAGACTATCACAAAGGAAGAACTATTACAATTTTCACCAAATGTTTAACAAAAGAATGAATATATCAATAATACTTACTTCTACTTTTAAACATTTCTTTCGAAACTTGGGATACGTGTAACGTCGTCTTATTTCTTGTTCTGAGGAGTTTCCAGTAGGAAATAAGAGCCCTGTATCGTCCACAGACGAGGATATGGTAATTTAAAATAAATTTAAGACATCAAAAAGTATCAATTACAGATAAATAATTACATTAATAAAAAGGTTCTATTTCTGGTTATATTTGAGGTCCCTTGGCCTAGGAGAAGGAATTACATGTTTTTTAAAGAGGCTATTTTGGACGTGAACGATTTTGTATAGTATCTACTTGCATATTGTTTTCTTCTATCGCTTCAAATTAAATTGTTTCATTTGTTAAAATTATTAATGTAAAAGCTTTAAGTTCTAGAAAATTTGTTTCTTAGAAAAAGGGATCACGAAAACATCGTCCAAAGACAAAAAATAAGAGTTGCATTGACGTAATTTACATCTTTCCTGTCTCGTGAAGAAAAAGAAAGTGTGCTGCCATCTACATAGGCGCAAGACTCTGGTAATATCGTTAGAAAATTATGTAAATAGGTGTTCCACAGGAGCGATCCCATCACATTACCCTGAGGTACAAAGATTGTTGTGTAGCTTTGAAGCTTTGGTTGCTTAAGTAGTTTTGATTAAGATGCAGTCAACTTTCTTAAATTCCATGACTCTACAGCTTACACAACAATCCTTTATGCAAGACTTTCCAATTGCTCCAGCAATATCAAAGGCTATAAGTGGTGCTCTGGAGAAGACAGCAGTAAAAATGTTATTCTTCGACCGGCGAAAAATGTCAGAGTATTCACCAAATACTGGTGACACCTGTCAGCAGTTTATCTCTCCCAAGTTCTAGGTGTTGATAATGGTTTTGATACATAATCTTATCACTGTCTTACAACTGAGGGCGGAAGCATAAGTATACATTATTATTGTTGTTTTACTTATACCTTTAAACAAGTTTTGTTATTAATCTGTCTTCTAATATTGACCTGTGTAGTAGCTAAGCATCAATGATTAGAGAGGGAAAACTTCTCGTCTGAAGTAATTACTTCTAATATTGACCTGTGTAGTAGCTAAGCATCAATGATTAGAGAGGGAAAACTTCTCGTCTGAAGTAATTATATTAATTGAGTGCACAGGAACAATTAAAGATGGAAAGGGAAGGGAACTATCAGGGGGAATGCGCCAAGCCATTACGACATTATAACACTTGATAGAGATAAGGATAAGGATTTGAGATGGGACGATGGGAACGATGGAAGGAAAAATATAAAATGCTATAATGTTATAATAAAAATCTCAAGCTTGCTACCAACATGAACACACAATATTTTACTGTTTTGTTAAGATAGCTGGAATGATTAAATTCACAGCAGAGGATAGTGACAATGGCTTTGTTTGGGATAGAGATCAGCAGGATAGTGAACAGGGTTAGATCCCACTGTGGGGAAATAAACTACGACGGGTTTACTTCACAGGGTTTAAGAGCGGGCAAGCGCAGGTTTACCCAGGGAGAGACGAGAGA